TAATTTTGTTGTTAATCCTGTATAATTCATCTCCGAAAATGCGATAAGTAACGTCTGATAAAATTAAACATTTAATATTAATATCCTATCTATACGTACGCTTTAGCGAATTCCAATTCGCCGACAAAACTCTCATCTGAAACGATACATAACATTTATTATTATTCTAATCAATACAAATGACAAAGAAATGTTTCCGTCCAGTAATGCAATCGAATCGAACGAGTAAACATTATTGATTTATGATTATTCAATATACTATTACTGTTATTAGTATTATTATTAATACATTTGCAAACAACGTTTCGTAAATTTAGATTTAGATTATTGTTTAACGCTGATCGGTTCATAAATACAATTTAACCGCGGCAAATTTATCATCAAACCACCGCTAATATTGATGGCATTAGTACTACTGGAATTCTATGCGTATACATATGTACATATCGTAATATTCGTATAATCTACACACATTCGCTTCTGTGCGGCATTCATTTCGTGAGACCTAATACGTTTGCCTTTGAAGTGCACAAACCGTGTACTTAACATTGGTCGAGTACCCAAATATGTGCGGACCTTAAGACCATCAATTGAGATGTGTACGAGTCGTCTGGTGTGGTGTTCGATTTGTCGTCATAAAAATTTCTTTTTTTTTTTCTTTCTTGTACGTGAACTACGGATGAATACAATTTATTAAATTTGAATATTATTTTATATTTATAACACAAACAAAAAATTATGTTGTAGCAGTTACGAGAAGAGTAGTTATGTCTACAGTGATTTATTCAGAATTTAACGAAATTCGAATACGATATTATTCCGGCGGAGTTTATAACACCAACTTAGATCTTATAATAATTATAATGATATTCTATTTGGTAGTAACATCTGCTAGTCATAACGGTCGAATATTTTAAAATAATATAATAATATGCAAACATGTTGCTCCAGTAAAACTTTCTTATTTTGTACTTGAATATATCATCAGTATTATGCATGATATTCTCCACGTGCTAATCTCATAACAAAAAAAAATTATATTTTGTAATTCATTCTCATAAAATACGCATACCCTTTTTACTTTTCTCCCCTGGAAACCAAAATATATTATATGCATATATTTATTAGGTATTATTATAAATTATATCCATAAGGTTCAATCAATTAGTATAATATAATAAAATATTAATTCTTATCACTAGTTTTAGATACAAAATATTTTTACATTATATATTTATTATATTCTATATTATGTATTAATAACAATAATTAATTATAATATAATCATCTATAAAAAAAAAAAAATTATAAAATTTGAAATTCTATCGTTTTTGTATGTTTTTCCTAATATACGACCCTAACAATAGTTTTAAAAAGGTTTAAAATCATCATTTAGGATTTCAGTTTTTACGTCTAAGAATTTATCGATCTTAGTCGGTAACACTTGCTAATTAAAAGTCCTACCTAGGTTATACCGATATTCATACATCAGCCTAACATAAATTAGGTATCATAGATTATACGAATATATTTTTGTAATCTAAATTATTATCACAGCCCTAAATTTTTGTGAACATTAATTTTTCCGTAAAATTTAAACGATAACATTAAAGAAGAGAAAAATCACGAACGATCAAAGAAAATACTAACTAATTAATTTGTATTATGTTTTATTTATGTACACAATTATAATATATTACAATAATTGACAGTAATCACATACTTTCATACTCGTATATTATAATGTCATAATAAGTTGATATGTATTTTTAGTAATTATTTTATTATGAATGTAAATATAAATTATCTAAAACTATTTTTATATTTTTTATTGGCTCAGTTGTAGATCCCGAGTGAGATTGAAAAATGTATTAAATATATATTTATGTATAATATTATATTAAAATGTTTGGTAAAGAACATAGAAGCTGAAAAAAATATCTAAAAATTGTAGATATAGTTGCCTCTAGATCAAATAAAAATATCATTCAGTTGATAATATACCTATAGATTATTTTTAAAAGACGGGTTGAAATTTTGAAAAAAATACTTTTAAAATGTGTTACGGTGTATACAATTTTACAAATAATTTAACTCTTAGTATAATTTTTATTTAGAAAATTAAAGTCTCATGTAATATTATGAGTTCTAAACATTTAAATTTACTAGATAATTATTTTTTTACAAGTTACAGTTTTTATTTTTAAATTAAATTGGAAATTTGAAATACAAGTTGCTCTTATAGTATTCCATTTATATTTAATAAAAAATGTAAGTTAAATTTCATATTAAATACGTCTAAATTTAAAATTTTAATTTTAGCTAAATTTGTTGTTTTCATGAATAATGATGTTTTAATTTTAACTACCAATTAAAAAATTTAGAAATTTTATTTTTAATGTTTTAAAACTCTATAGCAAAAATAACCATAAACAATTCTTAATATTATCAAAAAATAAATATAAAGGTTTGGTTCATTCTGATTTATTTTTAAACATTTTTCATTTTTTACTATCTAATAAAAACTTATAAAATAATATTTCCTTATTTATAAGGAAAAATGAATTAAATACAATGATATATATATATATATATATATATATATAAATACAGATGATATTACTTTTATGATCATTCGTGTATTTGTTGTTGTGATTAAGTAAACTGCCTTATGGATTTCTTTTAATAATTAATTTTTTTTAAAAAATTACTATAACAACCACGAATTACAGTATTATGTACGAATACCTCAATTGATATTTTTGAGTGTTATCAATGAAGTTTAATAATATCCTAATTTTATAGAAATGTCTTAAAATTAAGAATTAACATTTTTTTTATACGAATACTTAAATGCATATTATAATATGACGTATAGCTTAAATCAAACTTCATTAGACATTTTGTTTATCGAAAGCGATGATTCATCATTGCTTTCAAATTACAGAACACTCTTCTCAATGTAATATGTTACTAATAACAATGTGTATATGACCTAAGAAATTTTTCATTCAAACTATAATGATAAAATAGATGATTTTAAACAGCGCAATCAATTCTGAATTTTGCGATTGCAAAAAATTATTTTATATTTTAAACATCAAAACTATCATATTTTCCTTATAACACAAGTGCCAAACACTGTAGTATGTGTAAATACCAGTTTACCACTGAAAACGGATATTTAATCAAAAAAATGTACATTTGACTAATTAAAATAAACATTTTCACCTGAACTTTCTACTTAGTAGCTGCTACTATTTATATTGCTCTGATTAATTACTAATGTCTGTTATCGATAAGACTTTATTTAAAAAATATATGTTTCTATTTCCAATTTAAAATATATTAACTATCGTGCTATATTAATTAAGTGCTTTAATATAAAAGTAAATTTTATAGATTTCCGATAATTATTTGATAATATTGTAAACTATTTATACTACGATATTTACACGAATATTTTAATATTAAATTTATATCCTTTATGATAAAATGACATATTTATTTCAACTACTGACAATAAATAACTACCCAAATGTATTTTTCATCTAATACTAAATATTAAATCCAATATTAAAATTACTAAACTTCAAATTTCATACATTAAAAAAATTGAAAATTAACACTAAAATTGTATGTAAACTTCTAGGTATTGCTTGAATCACTGTTATGAGTAGATTTATTTAAAAAATGTTGATTTCCTTTTGTAGTTTATATATTAAATTGCAGATATAAATGCGGGCTGTGATGAAGCCTAAAATATATTATGTTTAATTCTAACAAAGAAAATGTGCCTTTTCAGCTCCTACATATGAAAGCATACGGTTAGCATAATATTTTATTTTACTGTCTGGCTTGAGCACATTAAACGGTATATTATCAATAATTTCACTAATATGATGCATAATTTCAATTAAAACGTAAAGCATTATATGAGTTGCTTAAAATACAAGATTATTCGAGTATCTGCTCCATAAGCTTTAGACCAGCGGCTAAAGTTTAAAGTTTTAATTGAGTTTAATGTAACGTAAATGAATGGAAGACATATACATTACATACGACACCACGTGAGCATACTATGTATAATAAATATATATAATATATTATATAAATAGTTACTAACAATTAACTATGTACACTATAGTTATTTTAAAATTAAAAAACTCCAACGACATTCCGACGAAGAAATAACAGTATAACAACATGGAGATTTTTTTTCTAGAATAGTACATAGTTATAATATTATAGTAAATATTAAGTAACCGTATTGCAAAATTTATCGATGAGAAGATAGATTGTTTTTTTATATTACGATAATATACGAATATACCTATTATATTATGATGTATGCCAGTAGAGTACTTACTTGCCAACTATTGATATTTTACTGGCACAACGTTGATAGAATATAACGTTTAACGTAGTAGTTCCTAAAAAATAAATCTTTGTTAAAAAAAAAAAAAAATTAATAATAATAATAATAGTAAAAATAATGAAATTATTAAGTTCGTACGAAGTAGGAAATTATAGGATTAATACAGTAAATATATAAAAGTATATAACGATAAATAATCAAATTTTATATATATAGTTTTCAAATATCGTGTGGAGTATTGGACCCATAAACCATAGACCAAATGTATTTCTTATAAAGTTTTAAATACCATAAAATACGATTTTTAGAAAAATTAAATATAAATGTATTATTTTATTGTGAAAACTTAATAACATACCGTAATACCATAATATGATACTAAAATAATGAATAGGAATGTTTAAATATAGAATCTGATTATACCTACTACGATATAGTAAAAAAAAACAATTAATAAGTGAAGATACTCATCAATAAGAATCCCACCTTATTCTACCATTTCTACATCTTTGAGCCCACCTGAACATGCATACATTAGTCAAAAAAATTACATCCGTTTACTAAAAAAAATCATACCTTCCGATATAAGAAAATTCTCATTTATCAAAAAACAAAATATTTAATAAATTATTAACACTTAACACGATACATTATCCCACTAAATACAGATTAAATGTTCTCGATTAATAATTAAGTAAAAATATTAATGTGAAAACAAAAACATTATATGAGCCAAAATGTAATAACTTTTACAACAGATGGTGTATGTGTGTTTTAATTTCGTAAAATTCGTTTTCATCTAAGCGTAGAGTCAAATAATGCGTTAACGATGGTGTCCTGTTCCTCATTCCATAGGTTACATTTGACTGTTCTCGTCAATTCTTGATAGCTACGCAAAACAGCATTTTTAAAAACAAAAAATAATAAACCCATTATAATTTTAAGATTTGATTTTTTTTTTTTTAATATTCACATTCCAATACTACAGTTGACTAATATTTGTAACAAAGTTTTTTTTTATATATATTATATCTAGTGGACAACAAACCATTTAATTTTTAAATATGGTAACATTTAATGAAATTAAACCGATATGTTTTGTATAATAAACACACAATATGTGAAAATATTATTTAAAATGTATTGAAGTTAAACTTCCACGAATATTGATTTTCGATGAATTTCGATTAAATAATTATATAAATTGATGCACCAATGCGTGAAAACATATACTTATCATTCACTTTAAAATACATCTCATAATAATGAATAACATATATATATATTATATATAATGTATTTATAAGCTTAACCGACTTGTATTTTATTTTACAATAATAATGTAAATCATTGAAGACGACTATTATATAGATGTCAGTATTAATAGTAATATATGCAAAAGAAAAACATATCAATAAAAGACAACAAAAATAATTGCTGTTCACTGGCAATCTATAAATGAACCTAGTACAACCACTTCAAACGTTTGACCAATGTAAAGCCCATGATTATTATATCCATGTATAACCGATATCAAATGAGATTTGATAAAAAAAAATGTCCTCGTTCGCATTAAAAAAAAAAAACAATATACCTGTAACCACCTGTGCCGATAAAAGTACAGGTTAGATAAGGTTAAAATTATTTTAAGATTAAAAAATAATAGAAATTAAACATTTAAAAAAAAATGAATTATATGTTTAAGGAATAAATATATTTTATATAGTATTAGTTCATTAAATCTGTATTATATGGATTTTAAGTACAATTAATATTAAAATATTGGGATTTTTAGATTAATAAATTGAAAGTTTACTATAGTTATTGATCAATTATTATAAGATATTTTAAATTCTGTAAAAATAAAAATACCGAAATCGTAATCAGTAATGATTCCTGAAGAAGTTATTATTTAAATTAAAAACATAATCGAATAACCTACTAATCTACTCATTGAAAAGTAATTTACTTAAAATATCTTTTGATTAGCTTTTAAAATTAATTATCAAGACGGGTTTGAAAAATTATTTTCAATTAATTTTAATAGTCTTATTGTACAGAAAATCAATCTCAATAATTATTAATATAATGCATCCTAACATTAATTAGTTATAAATCGTAAATATGATAAATATTACATTTTTTTAAGTTTTTTTTTTTAATATGAATTGAAATACTCGAATATGATGAAAAACATAAATAAAATTAAGAAACACTTTAATATAATTTATTTTATATATATTGTATTGTAAAAGTACCATTTTATTAAAATGTTATGATTGTATAGTTCATCTTTTCTAAGATTATTTCACAAAGAAACAGTTTCTTGAGTCACCCTGTATGGAGTAAAATGATTAAATTGTTTGTTGGTCGATTGTTTTGAAGCATATTTATCATAAATTATCTTTGAATTTATAAGTAAGACTCAGAAAATTCCATGTCTGAAGCACTAGCTCTAGAATAAGAAGTGGCCGTACCAGCAATGAACGCTGAGTCTGATGTACCTTCGCCAGTTATGAAATCAGCTACAATTAAAGTATCTTTATTTACCGACTGCGATAAGAACGAATGCTCGGTAAGCTGTGACTCGTCGTTCCATTTTAATTCAGTCTTATCTGTATCGCCCCTTAAGCTGGCTAAGTCAGACTTTAGTTGTTTTAACCGATCTTCTTTCTAAAAAAAATAAAAACGAATATTTGATTATAAATATGTAAATTAATTACGTCTTTATGAAATTACACAATGTAATAATTTCAAACTATTATCAAAAATAATTTAGGCTCTATTCGAGAAAAAAAAATTTTGCACAGTTTTATTTTTCAAAATATTTATTAATTTGTGTTTTTAAATTTTTCTAGTTGTCGTTTAATCAAAATTATCTATAATTTGGTATACCTCTTTTATTTTAGCAGCAAGCTGTTTATTTTCATCTATAAGTCTCTTATACTTATCTTCATCTTCTTTTGACATCCCCGCGTCAGGATTGTACTTAGATTCCGGTTTGTCATGTGGATCCCTAATCACTTCGATTACCTAAAATTTACTCATGATTATCTGTCAAGATGAAATCATCATTGTTCCTTACTTTTGGTACAAATATGAGGGCCATTGAAAGGAAACAACAAAAAATAACTGATAACGCTACGAAAGCGAAACTAGCATCTTGCTGTGATGCCGTCACCATAATCACAGGTGCAGTTATTAAGCATGTAACGACCACATTATAAATTGACATTCCGACATACCGCGAATCGTTTATCTGTCTTAGTTTCACGCTTCTAGTTTCGTATGAGACAAAAAGTCCGAAAAGTAAGAGCAATCCTTTATAACTTAATGTTAAACCTAAAACATAAAATATTACCCTGTACAAATTTGAACATTTTGTTAAAGAAATTAAATTAATGTTATAACATATCATTATTAAAAATTACATGCACTATTTCTTATAACATATATTTTCATATAACTTCTAACTATCAAAACTTCAGTAGTACATCTCATCAAAAATTAAATTTATGATACCGTATATATATATATATATATATATATACTCGTATATATATGGATTATAAGTTTCAAATCATCTAAAATACATTTTTTAATAATTTACAGAAAAAATAATTTACTACTTATTCCATAGTAGATAATATACAATCATTACTTAATACAGAAACAGCAATCATTTATAAAAAGACAAAATCATAGTAGTATAAATAGTTGATGTGATCTAGTACCTTCCCCCTTCCCTCATGTAGTTCTGTGATTGAGTTAAGTATGAGTAAATTTCCATTAATGATTATCTGAAGGCGAACAATCTCACCTCATATTACAAATTTTCGATTTACATGAATAGTGGTATCAATTTATACAATGTATAAATAATAATTATATAGTTGTTTTTTTAAGTCGTAAAAAATTATATCCTTAAATGCACAATGAGAGCATATTTATTTTTAGGTTTGAGCAATGCTAGTATAAATTTAATCAAAAAACTCTTTCGGTGGATTAAATATTTATTTAAAATGTATAAAAAAATTATAGTTTTCTTAAACACAATATATAGCGGATCAATTAAAAAAAAATAATAATAACCTATATACTATACAACGTTAAAAATGTTTTAAATATTTATTTAACATTAATATTGAAAATTATTGCATACACAAAAATACTAAGAGATGCATAATAACTTACTAAGCCAGAAGTTATGATTTACACTCTTGCAGTGCTCGAGTTCTGGTCGTATTTTAATGTCATCGTTGCTATTTAATGGGTTTTCCATAGGAAAAACTTGTATGTCCCGCTTCAATGGATCCATACACTGCCAAAGAAATAAAATCGCTACATCGACGCCGAGTAAAAATATTACGATCGAGTACATTTTCCACGGCTGCAGTGCTTTCTGCAACCACAGTCAAATGAATGTTATACTTCACACATAGGGTATACAATGCATGTACGCATTACATAGGTACTAAAAATTAACTCACCCTGATTGCATTTTTCTTTTGACTCGTGTGCAACCTGTGCACTCTCCACACCTTGCTGTACATAGCTCCATAACCCAGTGTGAATCCAATCGACAACACCCACGTTTTTATTTGGCATATGTTCGGGAAAACGGCTGATGATATGATTTGACCGTCCAAGCCAAATAAGTAAATGCTGCTCAAACTCAGCACACAGCCAGACAACATGATGGTGTTACAAGCTGGATATGATTGTGCGATGACCCTGGGAAATTATAAGTCGTTCATCGATCAGCGTACAGTCAGTTATAGTGTGTACGATAATGACGTATTTAGATACATACCTTCTGTGATGGTTAAGAACATTGAATATTATGAGGCTAACAGCTACGAGTATTCCAATAGTCGTGATAACCCACATACATATTAGTAACGGTATGGACAATGTACGCAACACACGTCGAATCACGGTTCGATCTTGAGGAATTTTTCCTCCTAATAATTGTAAATTTCATATTAAAATTAATCCTATATAATTAATATAATATATTATAAAGGTCAAATTTTTAATTTTTAAATTAATTGATTGTAAAAAAAATCACTTTACTTAATAATAACACAAACCTATCCATCTCTCTTTATCAAACCACGTTAAGTTATCCGACTGTGTGTCATAGTAACCAAGTTTAACGTATTTTCCATCGATGACTTGTTCGATTTGCGTCAGTGCTATTCGATCACCTTGTGAACTAAAAGCCACCCACCCCTAAAATATATATACATTTTATTATTTTTCTTTTCGTTTTTTTTTTCGTAAAAAAACTTACAGATATCCCGAGAAATTGAGTGGAATTAATGGCTGAATAAATGTGATCTGCAATTTCTTTATTGTTGTAATTAAAACTAGTAATTGATTTTCCTTGTTTTTCCAAAATACTCATCGTTTTATTAAAAGCTATTATATCAAAACACACTCACATATAGTTCAATAACAACGTAATTTTATTTTTATGATTTCATACCTAAAGCTACAGCCCAGACGGCGTCATAAGCTAGCGGTGCTTCTTGATAACCTTCAGGATAACGATGCCGATCAATTGCATAACCTTCAGATCTCAAAACATTTTCAAGTCTTTGACGGAAATCTTCGGAGGTCTTAAATAAAATAAATTAATAAAATATTATTAAAACTTATATTTTACAGACAAAGTTTAATGTAATTGTGTTCTAAATCTTAAGCTAATTTGCAATGAGAAATTACAAATTGTAATTTTGCTAATTATAAAAAAATAATACTATAGTATATTTGACTTACGTACTAAATTACTTTTAATTTAAGTAAACAACACGATAAAATATAAAATTTACAATAAAAATGCTTATATTTTAACACAATGTTTATTAAAATTTTTAATTTCTGTGTGAAGCAAGGAATGTATTGATTTTACTATGATGTAAGTTTTTCTGTGTACAGAATTTTAACCAGAAGAATTTTTTCAATCCTAAGGTTTCGTATAAGAAATTTTTTCTAGTTGGTAATTTTTAGGGTTATATTTAATGAGTTATCTAACAGTATTCTCAATAAGGAAAAACTAATTAAAATTTATAAAAAAAAACGATTAAGTTTATGGCATACCGATTTTTGAATAAATCGAATTATAATCTTCATTGTAGCTCAAAAAATAATAATAGTAGAGACTTCACATGTGCATTAAATACATATAAATATATTATTCTTTTCTATAGCTGATTTTAATTTTCAACATATTTTCTTTGATTAACTATAGATAATTGAATAGTTTAAAAATTAATTTTCATAAATGTCGATAAAATAATTTTGGTTTGATATAATAAAATACAAATTTTCTCATACATATCTGTTTAGGGATAACTATTTTAATACATATCTATTAAATAGATTAATGAAAAAATAACTATGCAATTTTGAAAAAAAAAATTAATAAGAAATTAAAATTTAAATTTCGAATAAACGACAATTTATAGTTAAAAATACATATAAAATTTAATTTTTATAATTAAGCTTTATAAATGGATACAAGATTTTTCAAACAATTTTCTTTGTAGAAAAACATTTTTTTACGGTATCGTAGCAAATATGTCTTATAAGCGTTAGAATAATTATTAATATTTAAAATTAATTAATAAATTAATTATGAAAAAATCGGATATTTCAACGAATTTCCATTAAACGGTATTTATTATTAGTTATTTAGTTGTTACTCTTAGGCACTTATTTTTGTCCTTCATTTTAAATCCATTATTATTTTTAAAAAATTTAAAAAATTAAAAATCCAACTTACTTTATTAAGGAATTTGGTTCTATTACTATACCAACTATTTTTATAAATATAAACTTATCTGCCCGTTCTCTTTTTCTAAAAATTATTTATTTGAGAGCATTAGTACTTTGGTTTCCATGGAAACTGCAGTTTAGAAGACTAATACAACAATATAATTTACCTATCTATATATCTAAACTGACTTAGAAATTTTTATTAAATGCAAAAATACATCGTATTTTTAATTTAAAGTTTTTTTTACAAATAATGAATTTGCGTAAATATACAACTGAGACTTTCATGGGTTCATATACGAGTATATATATAAATATATATATATAGATAGTTATTAATTATTAATCATAATTTAATGATTATCATTAGTTATACTACAGCATTGAATGTATTAAATTTGTTAGATATATTTACCATTTAATTTAATTTAATATTTACCAATTAACTAAAAAATTTTATATTAGAAAATGATTTATTTGATGGTGTGAAATAGATTAAATCAAATAACAATAAAAATTGTATAAATAATCGAAATTTTATATAATTTTAAAACTTAAATCTATTTTTCCTGCTAAATTTATGTCGAATGATTATTCGATGAGTTTGTAAACGTATAAACTCAATTAGTGTTTAATATAAATAATATTACCATTCCAGAAACAGTTTTTTGATTAATATTTTGATTCCACATCAGAGCTTCGGTAGTAATATGACCTTCAGCTGCAATTCTCATTTGTTCTCTTGTACATTCGATCCCTTCCTTATCCAAGTTCAACTCAAACCAATTGTCTTCGTACCAACCTAAATATTTATGTGCAAATATTTACACATGATTTAGAAATAGCAAATTTATAAATTAAGATATTACTTTCAGATATTGTTATAAATCATAAAAATTTTAATATTCAAACTGATAACCGAAGAACTTACCAATAAAAAACCACACGTAGGATTTTCCATATAATTGTTGTTTATACATCTCACACAAAACTTTTCTAGCAGCGACAACGTAAAACAAACCAACAATAATCCTGGCGTCTTGTCTTCGTAAATTTTTAACCGCATCGGCTGGATCGCTTACAAAACTTTGCCTAGTAATTATTTCGATGCCGTTTTGTTTGCAACGCAACTCAATGTCCTCCACTGTCTACAATTAAAACATTAGTATAAAACTCCAAGCCTACTATCATAGTAGTATTATCAAAAAGTAAAATATAATCATACAGAAATAAACACTTCCTCCGTTTGCTGAAGAATTGCAATTCTGTACCATCCAAATTTTTTCATCAGAGTGATTCTGGTAGGACTGTGCACGGTGGCCGAAGGATGAGTTCTGAATAATGTGGGAAAACGATTCCGATCCGACAGTGCTGGTGAACTAGCACCGTAGCACAACTAAAAACAGTAATATTTTTCGTATACATTCAGTGATGTATGCATTGATCACTTTATTTATTGATTAATTTATTAAGTAACATCCTCGAAGGGTAATAAATATTCCACGGATGTTGTTGTATTTGCAACTTTTCTTCTACAGCTCCAATTTATTTTAAATTCTAAATGCGTTGAGTGTCGGTACGAATTAAAATCTAAAAATTTTAAGCACATTTTTTCGCAATTTTTTCATTTTAATTGCAATTTTGTTGAGTTTAATCATTTTTATTACGATTTTAACTATTTTACATGCAATATCTATAACATTTTTAAATGACTTTAAGTATAATATTAAGATATATTGGTGTGTATTGTTTAAATTATTTATTATATATAGACATTAATATATTTTAAGGCGTTACGAAAATTTCATTATTTTTAAAACCCTATCGATTTTTATTTTCTTATTTTTTAAGTTAAAACATTTTACAAAAAAAATAAAGTTTATAAATTATAAAGAAAAGTTTTTTTTTTAATACAATTTTTAATTTTTTAAGTACAATATTCAATACTTTTTAGTGCTATACTCTAATCATTGTTATTTTTTTACTACTAAAACATCCGTGCTATAGTCATGAAATATATAAATACATAAATTTAGAACAATAAAAAATACAGCGTGCATAAAATTAAGTAAAATATATTTAAGAGTAAGTTAAAAAGATATGTATAAAATATAAAAAATATAGATAATAATTATTATTATTAGCAATTATTAGCAATGGATTTATATATTTAAGGAGAAAAAAATAGAAACAAACTTCGTAAAATAAATTATTATTTAAAGAAAATATTTGTGATTAGTAGGTAGGTATAATTTGTCTTTGAATACCTTTACTATGTATTAGATTAATATGTTTAGTGAAGCTTAAATTCTCTAATAAAGTAATTCTTAAATTACAAACATGGGCAATTTTCTTAACATTATAAACCCCAACTTTTTAATTAAAAGAATTTTTTTTTACGACGGCAGAATTGAATAAACGAATAAATGTACATTTGGAGTTATTCAAATTTAAATAAAATAAATATTTAATATTTCTATCCATTTCAGTACAGTGAATATAAATATTTAAACCAAATACTGGAACCTAGATGAATTTTACAGTTCCAATTCGGATCCTACAAAAGAAAAGAAATATTGGTTCAGGTTTCAATGCCAGTGCATAAAAAAACTAAAATTTAGGTTTCGGTTTTTAAATTAATAAAAATTAAGATTTTGGTTTCTTTTCGATTCTTAAAAAATGAAAAATTAGTTTGAAATTTGGTATTATACTTATGTAAGAACAATTAAAATTATAATAAAAATGATAATACTTAATAATAATGCAAACAGTTAAAATGATTTTAATTGATGACTTATTAATAAAATCAATATAAAAAATGAAAATAAATTATAATTGAATAATAATAAATAAATAATAATTTTTAAGACATTTTTAAAATTATTTGTAATACAAATGTATTTTTGATGTTTTCGAATGACTCGAAATAATATATAGGACATTTTAGTTTTCGTAGTAACTAGAATATCCTATGACATTATTATCAGTAGTTACGTAGAAATATTTTATACTCAGACGTCTGAATTCTAAGAGTATTGAATTATTATTTTTGAATGTTATTAATTTTAATAATACTAATATATGTACATAAAGTTATTTTTTATTACCTACTAATAACATAAAATAATGATGAAATTATTAAAAAAAACTGAATTAACCGTAAAAAACCATTACAATAAAGTATTGGTTCTGGTTTTTAAAAATATTCTGATAAGGGTTTCAGCGACATTTCAGTTCTGAAAATTAATTTAAAAAAGAGTTTCAGTGAGGTTCCGGTTCCCAATATTCAAAGAGTTGTAACGGAGCACGCGCTCAGACGAAAACGGCCCTTTTCAGGGCCACCAAGAACAACATAGTGACGATGTAAAATGGCACGAAGGCAACCAATACAGCTGAGGAATAGTGTCGTTTTACATCATTGGGTGGACAGATAAAAATTCGACGAATGAGAATAGAGCGTCGATATCTGATTAGTAGGGCCCGGATTTCAATGCAGTGCATATTTAAGTGCATATTTTTTTGGTTGATCATACACAATGCTTTCTAAAAACATAATTCGTTTCATGTAACGAGGGTTTCAAAATTTCAGATTTTATTTTGCATTTTTTTTGCATATTTCGGCGTTTTTTTTTTTTCAAGTCTGCTGTCGACCATATATCCAATTCGTGTACATTTATATAAAGATCCGGGTGTCGGTAATCCCGGCACACCGTTTCAGAGTTTCGGTTACAAAATCGATTATTTTCGATACAGTTCCAGTTCCAGATTTAAACCATACGTACATTTAAAATAACTATTATAAATTTAATATATTTTCATTGATTATTTTAAATTAAACAAATTATTAACTATACTTATTATATTATTATATAAGAACTATATCACGAATTATATATAAAAATATTTGACATATTTAAATGAATCTTATATGAATATATAATTATTTCACTATGTATAATATAGTAAGCTTCTTCTCCTACGCCTTCAAAAATATAATATTTATTAAATATGTATACTTACAACAACTAAATTCCACATTTTTGCCGCTTCAGCAACAGTTGTACATACAGTACTACATCCAGCTAATAACATGAGCTTTTGAGGTTTGTTATACAATAAATCATACATGACCGATGCGCCCAATCCTGGATCACACTACACAAAATAAGCAAATATAACAATTTTATTTTATTAACCAACGTGTATCTAAAAAAAAACATTAATGCACAAATAAATTTCATTCATTTTCTGATCAAAGAATAAATCTTAAAATATATGAATCATAATAATATTGAAAGGTACTCTTTAAAATATGATAGTGAGATGATTTTATTTAAAAAAGAGTTGTGCTGAAGTACGAAATAAAATGTATTCTATATATTAATATATTAATTATTAATGTATATAATAATTTATCTTTAAATATTATTATTTAATTTAATTTTACTGTTTCTGTAATAGTAAAAACATTAAACATTGTTATGGTAAAAATTAAAATAGTATTTTCATTTAATAAATACATACAATTATTTTTAATATTTTTTAAAATAAATCATTTTACAGTTATTATTATTTTTTCAGCGAGGCTATTATATACGTATTTCAATAACGTCTGTTAAGTGAGTTACCACTACTTTTATTGAGATTCGGCAATGTTAAACTACTCAATATTCACCTCACTGTCGTTCCAATGCAACTTCAATTGATACCCGGACAGAACACTATTCTTGTTCACGTCTTCCAATGCCAGCCTGACAGCGGGCTCGCAGGCTTGACCCCCTTGCCAACCTCCTTTGCCACCGATCGGAAATATACCTCCGATATGTAATACATTGTCGTCTTCTTGAAATGAAAACGGAACATTGTTCAGCAATACAAAAATGTTAATCACGAGTTGAATCATTTAGCCGTCGGACAAAGGTAATCGAGCACGACAAATGAATCCTCGCCTACATGACGATGGACTAAATTGCGCGAGCCATAACGTACAGTTTGGTTGGGAGTTCCACTCTGTATTAGTGAATTTTACCGGGGTAAGGACTTGGGTATTGATTTTCGCGAGGTCCGTGGAGCGCTGGTTTCCATGCCGTCAACCCTTATCATGTGGTAAACTGGAAGAAATAATTTATATTCAATGTTTTTTGTTTCTAATACACGATTATTTAGAATAAATTCGATAAAAGTATCCTCAAAAATGTATTGAAAAATTACCAAATAATTTCAATGATAAAATTGTTTAAATAATAAAGGAACCATGGGTATAGAGCATATTTAAACAACAATAATAACTATTAAATATTCTGAGTAATCATATTCTATCACTTATATACTATTATTTGACAAGTAAAAAATATACATTGTAACCAAAAAAAAAAAAAATCGATATTCAACTAATAAGATAGTTATTTTAAAAATATAACAGTTTAAGTAAAGAAAAAAAAAGGAAATATTTATTATTAATATTATTATTGTACCATTTGGTCTACTATAAATTATGAAAATAATAGACAGAATGTGACCATGTATTAATATATTTAATAAATTATAAAGGTATTCGTACACATTATAATTATTTCATACAATTGTAACTATCTCGTTAATTTATACACTATGACTCTTTATTTTAACTTCAATAAACCCATTTTTAAAAAATTATATTTAAACAAATTATTGTATGTTATATTTATTATTATATTATGTATTTTTATATTTATGTATGGGATTATGTTCGTGATTTAACCTAACCTATATAAAATTAACACTTTAGTTCTCCCAAACAACTATAAATTGATTTACTAAACATAAAATTATACAGTAGTTTTTTATATAATTAGTTAATTTATTAAAATATATCAGTTTGAAGAAATCTTTTGAAGAATTTATTTTTAATTTTCAAATAAATTTTAAAATCTTTAAAATTAAGTGTAAAATGACTATGAATTGGTTTTTTATTTATTATTAATTTTAGTATCAAATATATATGGTTTACAGTTTTATTGGTATAAAAAATATTTTAATAATTCTAATTTCCAAAACATAATTATAAATAATTAAATACAAAACAAATACAACCGAAATTAAAGTAAATAAAATACATTAATAAATGAGTATAACTAAATACTGTCTGAGTACTTTTCTCGAAACTTATGAAAAATAACTATAAATATTGGTCTGATTGCAAGTCGCTGATTTTGTTTTGATATTTCGTTGGAAATGTATACAAATATATTTTACAACCGTTTTACCATAAGGTGTCCATTATTTTTGAAAAATGAGCATACTAAATAAATTATTCACGTTAATTTGTTTAAGAATTTTACGATCGTTGGTTGCCTCACATAAAAAACGTGAGGAATGCATACAGTGAACGTTGATCTTTAAGAATGCCTAAAGAACTCGATATATAGACCTATTAAAATACCCATCCGTTCGTGAAGCTTGAATAAATGGCAACGATTTGTCTAATTGTCTAATTGTTCTGCGTGTGTGTACGTAAATATTATTAAACAACAAATTAAATACTCAACTTAGTAACAAATTTTGATACTCGTTGTGGATTTAATTTCATACTACAATACTATTCGAAATTATTTACTTGTGTAACTTAATAATGTATAATAAAAACGTCAATAACAACGCAAAAAGTTTGCCTAACTATTATTTAAATTGTCGCAAAAACTTTGATAACAAAAACAATAACTATGATTAAGTGTTTTCCTACATTTACTGGAAGCGTGAAGGTAATTAAAAATATTACAAGCTCATAAGCTACACATCAATAAAAATAAAAAATAAATAAAAGTACTGATTAAATTATATACGTACAAGATTTATAAAATGTATAATATATATACAAAATATGATAAAGATATTATGCAGTTATTTGGGATACAAATATAAAATCTTTGTATCAATGTAAACTGTATACGAATATAAAATACCAATACTCTGCATAATCCGTAAGTAAAATTTTATGGGCGGAACTCTTTTCGCTCAAAAATGACCTTCCTCTTATTGCCCACGTCCTCTTTTAGACCAAAAATGAAAAAACAGTTTCCTCTTTTCGCCCAAAAATAATTGTATTCTTTTTGCCCATGGTTTCACGTTTTACATTTGGAAATGTAAATTATTAATTATTAATTTTGAGACAGTGGTTTCCAAAATGTAAAACGTGAAACCATGGGCGAAAAGAATACAATTATTTTTGGGTGAAAAGAGGAAACTGTTTTTCATTTTTGGTCGAAAAGAGAACGTGGGCAAAAATAGGAAGGTCATTTTTGGGTGAAAGGAGTACCGCCCAATTTTATCATCCACAATTTCAAAGTAGGTAATCATCTTCAGAATTCAAATACTAATCATAATTTTTAAATTTAAAATTAAAATCGATAAGTGACATATTATTTTTAAATTTAGTAAACTTAATGTTTTATATTTACTATTATATTTTTATTATATAGTTTTATTATCATTAATTCATTATTTTTTATTTCACTTCGTGTTTTATATGATAAATAATGTAAAAATATGAATATAAACATACAGTTACTGACCATTTATAAATGTTGAACACTTTTAATATTTAAAATTAGTAGAATAACAGTATATTAAGTATAACTAAAATATAATAAATATATAACAAAGACAGTCACAGCATATAAAACAACACACGTTATTTATATTTTAAACAATTTATAGAATATTTTAAAATAAGTCGTAATTTTATAATAGTTAAGTATAAAATCATATGATATAAAAAATATTTACAAATTTAAAATACGCAATAATAAAATAAAATGTATTTATTTACAAGAATAACTAATGACACTTCAACTTTGGAAGCCATTATTTTTATACGGTAATGTCCGTGGCATAAGTATTTATTCTATCATTTGTTTTACTCGCTTGTCATCTTGTCTGATGAAACATAATTTGTTGAATTTTATCGTTTGTATCTTGTATATTTGTAATATCTAATCGAGATATTTTCTCTATGTGGATCAAATTTGACTTCTTCCTCATCGTTCACAAAAATACATTCTACGTGATCTAACCTTTATACATAGTCATATTTATTCAGATATAGTTATTATTTTTTTTAAGTGTAGCCATCAGCTTTTTAACTTTTAAACCAGGAGGAATTTTATCCGCTAGTAAAAGTGGAAGATCATTGTGATTTTCGTGTAAGTATTGAGGGTATGATTTCCAACTCATATATTTTACCTATACCTAATGTATCCATTAAATCGCTCAAACTTTACAACGTGGACTCGCCACATATACTACGACGTTACCCACCCATAAAGATTGTTGCAATTTTAATAAACTAGCAAGGGTTTCGGTTTCATTGCATTATAATCTTATGTATTTTCATTGTTAGTTTTAGCGTTTCTCTACTTAAATGTATGAGACCACTACGGCCTGAATTTGGCAGGACCAGCAGTCAGGATTATCATCTAACAGTTGACAAGACTAACCGTCTGTGGATGGATATAATATATAATAATTATAGAATATTATTCTATTTCTTGCTCATAATTTTGCATTTTATGCTGATGCAAATTTGTTTTTATTTTCTCTGGTTCCTTTGCATTTGACTTTTGTCAAGACAGATTCCACAAATAATATATTATGAATAAACTAACTGACCCGATAGACGTTGTCCTTTCTTAATTATGAATATTAAATTCGAATTGGTATAATTAATAAAAAAAATATTTCATAAAGAGTGTTTATTATTCTAATGCTTTATGATATACAACATTTTTAGTATTTTTTTACATTTTCGAATTTGATTAAAAAACTATATTACTATATTACTTTATACTTGCACTTCTACCAATAGGACTACTTTCTGAAGAAAAGCATAAAGCGTGTAATAAAAATTATAACATTTTTTTGGGAAAATCATATTCGCATAAAATCAAGAATAAACAAAAATACTGATTTAATAAATGCCTAATTAATTAATTCAACACATATTCTAATTCGAAATAACTTTTTATATAAATAAATACTGTATCACTTTATTATGTTTAGCACAATGAACAGAATTTACTTGTTTTATTAATTTTCTTTTGTAAATATACAAGTATACCTATACATTATTACATATTTATCACTAGAATTAAATAAATATAATATATTAAAATATTATTTTAATTTTAAGTATATTTTTGTCACGGTAAATCTTCAATTTCTCCCATGTGTGCTATGGAAACGTTTCCCTGACATCCGTAGAGAGAAATTTATTTTTCCCTGGGAAATTCATTGGAACAAATTCTGAAATAATTGGTACAAATTGGTATAAATTATGGTAAAATAAATGGCATAAAAAAATATTGGTTTTTTTAAATTGTGGGGCCAGGGAAATTTACTTCCTCTTCCATCCAATTTTAAAAATCAAAATTCAGTCTCAAAACTAAAATATTTATCTATAAAGCCATTTATATAACTCCCATTTGGTCGTATGGCATACAAATATGGGGTAAGTGAAACCATTAAACATAAGACCATTTAAAGCCTTTCAGTCAATTTTTTCACGATTAATTACTAGGACGTTCACGGTACGTCATTAATCAAAACATACATAAAAAATTAAATATTCAAACTTCCAAAAAACTTGCTAATCAATACTACAAAAAACTGACAAATAACAAAAATTCAATTATTTCTCAAATATCCTCCGTGACGATTCCTGTAAATCCCACCAAAAAAACTAAAAAGAAATCGATCAAGAGACTTCCTGAACCAGTGAAAAAAAAACACATATTAAAATATACATACACAAGTTTATTATATACCAATATATTAACAAATTCAAAGGTGCTACTAATGAGTAGTTTCCTCAAAAAAGTACCCATGTAATGTTTAGATCTAATAAATTCAAATAATTTTCTTATTGTACATATAATTAAGTATGGATTGTAAATTTACTTTTTCGCCAAGAAAAAAAAAATATTTTCCTTGGAATTTGGTAAATTGCATACCTATTTAGTATACAGACATAATATATAGACACAAGAGCACGATACGTGTCAATACTCTCATTGACGATCACTAAATCGTATAATTACCGGACATTATTATGCAAATACGACGATTTAATATTATAATAACGATATATGAACGCACATAGTGTAGCTACAATGACGTCATTCGTATATTACGCCCGTCCTCGAACGGTAATCAACTATTATTCGGAGAGCGTTTGTTTTTGAAGATATTCTTAAGACTTCTTTCCCAAAACCGAACACACAATTAATAATAACCGATGCAAAAGCAACAAACACGCACACACACATTAAGAAAACACGTATCGAATCGAATAGATTTGCATAATTTACGCTCGCACTACTAATACTACCGAACCAATTGCGACTACAGCTTCAGGTCGTCGCAAACGCCTTGTCAGCGCACGACACGCGTAACATATTATTGTGTTGTACATTTTCGTGTTCCGAGTGGCGGCGTGTGCCGGTCATTTTGTCACGGAGACCATGATCGGCCAACTGCGACTGGTGGCGTTCGGCGTGTGCGTGGCAGCGTGCGCCGGCGAGCTGAACGTGGTGTACGAATGGGGTAGCAACATCAACCTATGGACGGGCCGCCGCGAACACGACGAGAGAAACGCGACCGCGGCGATGGAGGACTATGTGCCCGGCAATAACCTAGTGCACAGGATGAGGATCTGGGACGGCGCGATGTACGTGGCCGTGCCCCGGTTCAAGAGGGGCGTACCGGCCACGCTGTGCAAGAGCCACCGTGAGCCGGACGGCGGCACCACGTTGAAGCCGTTCCCGACGATCAGGATGCAGGATGTGGGCGACTGTTTCGGTGTGCAGAACGCCAAGGACATCGAGATCGACCACCTGGGCCAGTTATGGACGCTGGACGCGGGCGAGGTGTACGACCTGCAGCGGACCGCGGACGCGCCGGACTACACGTGCGACCCTAAACTATTGGTGGTGAACATCAGCAGCGGCGCGGTGCTGCGATCCGCTGTGGTGCCGAGCTCCATGCACACGGCCGGCCGGACCGTGCTCAGCGGCCTCTCGGTGGACCTAAAGACGCTGACAGCTGTCGTAGCCGACGTGAGCGCCGACAACCCCGGGTTCCTGGTGTACGGACTACGGTCCGGCGTGTACCGCAAGTTCCGGTGCAAGCGGCTGCGGCCCGCGGACGCTGCGGCCAACGGTTACAACGAGGCGCTGTTGGCCATCTCGCCCATCGATAACATGCTGTACTTCACCACCGTGGAGCTGGACAACGTGTTCGCCATACCACTGAGCGTGTTCGACGTGCCGGCCACGCGACTGCTGGCCGACACCTACGACGTGAGCCATTACGCCAACGACCTGGGCCCAAAGGCGGACACCGTGACCGCGATGATATTGGACAGCGTGGGCCGCCTGTACATGGGCATGCCGCGCGCCATCGTGTCATGGGACACGTTGCGCGGTGGGTTCGACGTCAAGCAGCTGTACGCGCAGGATGACCGACTCCAGTGGATATCCAGCTTCGCGTTTGACCCTGACGGTTACCTGTGGATCGTGTCGTCCGCGTTCCGCGACTTCGTCGACATTGGTTCCGACGGCCACGGGCCCGCCGACATGAAGATATTCAAAAGCCATTGTGGTGCAACCGCGTTCGCCCTTCTCACGGCCGCCGGGTCCACGGGCCGGTCACCCGACGCAGTCAGTTCCGTGAAAACCGTCACCGCCGCCGCGCCTTTACTGCACTACGTCTTCGCTACGCTTGCGATCCAAATCACTTTCGCTCGCCGCACCGTCGCAAACGACCGATGAACCGATTGCAAACCATAATCTATTGTACGATATTAAATTAATATTACCCGATTTTTGCATGTGTGCGATCGTTTCATGTAATATTTCTGAGATTCGTAGTTTCAACGGAACATTGGACGTCTGCGATGAATCGTTACAAAGAACAGTGAATATTCCTGTATAGGATTACCCGCCATTTTTATTTAATAAAAAAAAAAAAAAAATAACGCATGTTTGATATTTAAAATATTACTGTAGATGACTATTGTTTGTAACAGGCAAAATTTTCAGCGTTTTGTTAAGTAGAATTTGTTTTTTTCAGGGTGAATACGATGATAATAAATGTTAGATATTTATGCTGAACAATATTTGATTTTCATTTCTCGCGATGTTTCGATAACGATGTGTTTAATCTGATGTTTGTATCGTAGAGAATAATTTGTAACTATTTCTATTTTCGAACAATGTTTTTATTAGATTTTTTAAAAATAATTGAATTTTAAAACATGTAAATAGGTACGGTTAGAGAATCGGAGCTCAAACTACCAAATTAAAATTAAGTTGCGTTAGAAATATCAATTGTGGATGACAATTTACCTACAACATTTTGGTCGTTTCTATTTTGTATTTAAAAAAGTATATAATTTTTGTTACCTTATAATTATTGTCTTATAAATAGCTATAGATTTACAATGGTTCACCAATTATTGTAAACATTACGATTTTTAAATTAAAGGGAAAAAAATTATAACAACCTATCACGTGTTATAGTATGTAACAATATATATATATATACACTATATATTACGTTATATATAATGTAATATAACATTATATAACATGTACTCGAATAAAAATATGCGCATAAACCATTTTATATGCAAGTGCTTACCAATATGAAATTTATTTCCACCATGATTTTCATACTCCAAATTTGTTAATTTGACTACTTGAACAATAAATCGACTGTTTATACATGCTATTCTAATACATATTTAAAGTTATAATGCACAAAACTAATAACAAATCAGTCTGAACTACATGCGAGACTGGGAAAGGCAATATTTTTTTTTTCTATACCTCTATAAGGGATAACCGCAAGTGCTGTCTCGTATTTGAATCAAAAAAATTGTTACATTTAAAGAACAAATTATGGCGACCTGCCACCCAAAGCATTACCTCATCGACATATCTAGGTGGCTTATTGCCGGTTTTTAAGAGGAAAAAATCCCACAGTACTCTGGGTACCCACAGGTGGTTTTAAAAAATATCCTAAAATTTAAGTCTAAGAGTGATGGTTTCGTATTTTAACTGATGTTGCTTAAATTAAATGGAATTTATTCTAAAATATTCGGCAAAAAATAAATTATGTTTTATAATAGAAAAACTAAAACTAAATTTTCGGGCAAAAACTTATTATGATAATATAACAGCTAAAATTAACTACAAAAGTACAAACCATAAATAATTACAACTGTCTGTGAAAAATATACAAGATTCCAGGAAAATATATTCATGAGACTAATTACCACAGTATTAAATAAAAAATTTAATAATGAATGAACTGATGCTAATTTTATTTTAAATATTTTTAAATATTTTACAAATAAATAAATAATAATTAAATATTTTACTAATAAATATACGTAATCTATTTTACAATGGACGAAAATATATGATTAAGTCTCATCTAAATAATAAAAATAATAAAAATCAATCTGTACAATATCTTATCTAGAAAGTAGGTACAAATTTCAAAAAACTCTCAAAACAATTTAGCACTTATTTCCACTAATTTTGGATTTTTAGTTGATACTATTTCAAAGAAGAAACTTCTAAAAAGCATTAACTGAGAGCCTAGAAATAGTAAATAATGCCATTAAGTAATTAGAACGCGTTCCTGGAGAAATTGAAGTTTTAACAAACTCTAAATTACAAAACATATTGGAAAAACCCCAGGATTTAAGGCTGTAAAGTCGATAGAGAAATACTATTAAACAAAACTCCAAAAAACAATTTATAAACAGAGTACAGTCCAAAAGAATTAACATGTATGAAATATGCACCTGTCACTTCCGTTGATGTGTTGAAGTAATTTAACCGTCATAAAGCAATACTAAGATCGAAACACCGTAATTTAAAATTTGAAAATCTCAAATTATATGACGTTTCTAATTGTTTCTCCCATGAAGAATATTCAGATGATTCAAAATAAACATTTTTATTTTTGTATTATGTATTATTTATAAATTATAGTGAATTATATTTTATTTTCAATTTCAATATTTCAATATTATAAATAAATAAATATGAAGTAATAAACAAATATATATTTTAATATTTTTAATTTTTTACTTAATTTAAATCCGTTCCCTAGTTATAAATTATAAGTATTATAATATATTAATCTTTATAGTATTGTTAATGTTATAAATATTATATTTATAAATAATTCTTATCAGCTATGTATAAATTATATTATCATAATATCATTATCATAACATCAAATAAAAAGTTCTTTTATTTATTGTATAATATATACTTATAAAATGTACATAGTATAAATTATATTAGATGTATTTCACCAAATAACAATATTGTATATTTATTAATAAAAATTTATTGTGACGAGTCATGAAAATATTTTACCTGTGGTATAATACGGAGTTGCGCTACTGGTTGGTTAAGGAGCGAAGGGTAGATTTATACTTATGTCTTATTGGGCCGGTCATCATTATGCACTATCCAGAAGAATAAAGTTAATCATTGATGAACATTTTGAAAAACAAAATATGCTAGCTATTACAGTTTCACTTCATTGTGTATAGGCCCGTATTTAGAGGGGCATGGGTAGACACATTCCCGGGGGCGTCAAGTCACAAGGGCAGTAAAATAGTATGTTTGATTATGTAATAATTTGTAAATTAAAAAAAAAAATTGTATTTTTATTATATATAATTTGTTAATTAAAAAAAAAAAAAAAGGAATATTAAAAGATTTTCATTTATAAGTTGTATTTTAATATTAAAGAATCTCGATTATAGACGAAATAATAAGTGTTATATTATTATTATTTATTATTTTTGGGGTAGGGGCATAAATTTTATGCCCGGGGCCACCACATTTTTAAATACGGGCCTGATCGTGTGTATAATACCATTCTGAGGTCAATACACATATTGACAACACATCGGATATCCTATTTTCCTGCATTATAGGATAAATTATAATTCTTTATTTTAAGTTGCTTTGTATAATAACAGGATATGTTATTTGTAACTAAGTAATATGAACAATTTTATAATTTTGAACAGATTTTAAAATTTTAATAAAAACGTACATATTATATTATTAGTATCTATATTTTGTAACTTTGTGTTGTATTAAACAAAAAGCATATTACATTATATTGATATTTATTAAATTTGTTTGTTGAGAGAATATTACTAGTATTTTTTTCACTAAATAGTTTGTTTTAATACATTACTAAAATTTGAGGTATTTTTCTTCATTTATAGTGAATAGTGAAGTGATATTTATATTCATATTCATCGTGATATTTTTATAAACATGTTTCATAAATGGTGAATAACCACATATCTATTCAGCCCATAGAGTATTATTAGTTATTACTTTATGCACTGGCGTTGCTATGGGGGGGAGGGATAAGTGATTTCTAACCCTAAATATTTTTATATTGGTTAGGAATTTAGATAATAAGTAAACAACACACATATAACTTAACGTGTGAAACATTAATTTTATGGTAATATTAATTAATATTAATATTAATCTTAATTTTGATTGTTTATAGAATACATTTTATTTATTTAATTGGGGTCTTAATTTTGCAATAGTAAATATACCAATTACATTTTAACATATAGTAATACAAACTTGGATTAAAATATTTTTTTGAATAATTTCTAAAGTTAAACATCATAAATCAAAAATAAATTAGAATATAAATAAAAATTATCTAATAAAATATGTATATAAAAAAGGTATACAATTATTATAACTGTTATAACTAAACTGCTGGTAAGTGCCTAATTATTTCAAAATTACTGTAGACTGTAGTTTCTCACTTATCTATTGTATTAATTTATTTTAACATAGTTATTTCTATTTTTTTAGTAATAGTTTTAGATAAAATTATTATTAGAAGAAGAATAAGTCTATGGCTTAGCATTCAAAATCGTTATCGAATAGAAACAAACTGATTGTGTTTGAATTTATTGCAGAGTTATAGATTACTTGGATAAAAGAATTCCATTAACTTTTTAAATAAGTTTTAAACATAAACTACTTTTTACAATACATCAATACATTAAACAGGTACGTAATTTATTATATAATAACTTTAAAGTTATTTGGAAAATGCTTACAATAAACAAAAAATAATAAATATACACTGCATAATATGCAGTGCATATTAATATTAATTATTATCAATAATATGTATAATGCGTTAAAAATAAATATCTCATAAAACTATACTTCAAAACCTATTTAAATTTAATTATTTGAATGGTATTATACATCATATACTTTTTTGGTATATTTTAATTTCGCTGTTTTCCGAGTAAATTCTATGGGACTTTGTGAAAAAGTCAAAATTTTTTATTCGAAACTTAGAACACATACTTTTTTAGTGCACAGAAAAAAACTGCTTATTCGGTAAATTTTGGTGGATATGAAATATATTTATGACTTTTAGAATACTAGTTTATATTTTAAAGGAATAAAATAAAATAAAATACGTAATACGTTATTATTAAAACGTAATAATAATATGTAAGTATAATACGAGTATTATATCAGAAGTTTAAATTTCATGAACTTCGGCAATTATTGTTATTCGTAAAAACAATTGTACTGATTTTCACATAATATTATATTGTCTTAAATATTGCAATGTATGTTTTTAAAAAAAATTAACTATCTCCGATTTTAGAAGTCTTTGAAACTTATTTAATTATCGCAATTATAACAATTATTCGACCGAGAAAAGTTTAGTTTTGTAATTATTTTTTGATTACTTATTAATAAGTTTCACTGTTTATTCAATAATAATTAAAAGTTATGCTGTACATATAAAAAATTTATCTCTAATATTCGGAATGCATGATGTGTTATATTCTACGTCCTTTCCATAATGATCATAGAAATAAAAAAAAAAACATTGAATTCATAAGTATGTAGGTATTTTATAATTAATCACCATTAAAATGAAACAATTATAATTTTTTATATCATATTTAACATACGAGTATGTATTAATGATAATTAATAATATTAATAAAATATTACGTCATTTCATAAATAGAATAACATTGTTTTATTTATAAATTACATTACATTTTAAATATTTATAATTTATGAAGTAAATAAAACAAGTATATAACTGTATACATATTTTATAATGATTGAAGTAACCTTTAAGGTTTCAATACATGGAAACATCACTGTAAAAATAATACTTCATTGTTCAGAATCTAAAATAAAATTAAAAATGCATTAATAAATCACGAAGAACTGGTTTAATTTAACTGTTTTTACAATTTATTTTGTTAGTAAATCTATAAGTTATTATAAAGAGCTATTAAATATTTATAAAAATCATTTATATTTTTAAAAATTTTTAATATTTATCGATAGAGAACTTGATTGTTATTTCTTACGATTGTTTATATATATATAAACTTTTGTTGAAAAAAAACACAAAACTTACTTTTTACTCGAAAACTTTTTGTGATAAACATTCTTCAACATTTTATAAATTACAATTGTGTTTCTTGGTGGCCTAATGATTATTTCATTATCCTTGATTACGTTTTTTAAATTATCAATTTTTTTCTTTGAGATTTTTATGATTTCAAAATTATTTTTATTCAATTTTAAAAGCAGGTTAGGCATTTTATGTTTCTTTTTGTTGTTTTTATTGATCAACCTACGTTAATTTTATAATATAGAATCTAAGCGGCAATAATAACTTATCTGTTTAATTTTGGTAAATATTTAAATAACATACTAAATAATATTTATAGTTGTTTATTTTATCTTGTAAAAGTCCGATTTCTGCTTTACACTTGAGTAATTCATCGGTAATTTTTTTTGTTTCGTTCTTTTCATTAGTTATATATGTCTCCATATTTTGCTGAAATAAAATATAAGCACATAGTGAGGTACAGTGATGATTAACCATTATGGTCAATAGACTCTGCGTCCAAACTAGGTGACCACTGACCATGGTGCACCCGGGATTTTAGCAAGAATGATATGTACGATGTCACACATGATGTGCCCTCGAATAACTAATAAACCACAGATGCCTATACGCCTAAAAATACAATCCTAAATGTTTGCTTACTAAAACCAAAGGATATGATGGCTGAAGTTAATGAAAAGTGAGTAAAAAATAAAATAATTTTACTGTAATAATTAATAATTGTGTGTTAATACAATACAAAGTGTATACAATACTTTTTCCGTTATTAATGCTTCCATTTCTGTTTTGAAATGTTCAATTGAATGACGACATTTTTGTCGTTCATCACGTAATTCTAGTCTTTTCATTCTTAAAGTACTTTTGAGTTTGTCAATTTTTATTTTATATTTAACTTGTTTTTCCTAAAAAATCAAATTTCTCTATAAGTTATGATCAATATTTAATTTTGATACAATTATTATTAATTATTATTAATTATAATTCATTTAATGTTTAATTCGTGGAATATTATTACCTTTATGTTATTATTATAACTTATTAACTCTGTTATTTGTTTATATTCTTTATTATACTTTTTCTTTAAATAATTCAACTCAACTTTTAAATATTTAATTAACAAACTCAAATCTTCGGCTGAACTTTTAAAGTTAACTTCGTTTTTACGAAGTTCCAAAATCTCTTTATTTTTTGCCTAAAAAGTTCAAAACATTATAAACGTATGATAACTATAAATGTATTCTGATAAGTTACATAAAAATAAAAGTATATATCGATCAAATGTCTTAAAATTGTATTGTAGTTTAGTTTTGGTTCGGAAGCTTTACTACTGTTATACTTATCTCAAATTAAATAAGTCATGAGTAACTTAACTATAGTTAAACACTAGTCTTATAACTCAAGTTATTACTAGAACATATACACGAGTGAATACCAATTTCAGATTAGTTTTTCTATTGCACCTAATCAGCTACTTTAGTTTTTAAAAAACTTTAAAAAATATTGTTAGTTTGTATAGAACTAAAAAACCTCCAAAAATAGAATCCGAAGTTGTTCTACTATATGTTCAATACTAGCAGTTTCTTTCAAAACCCTGGGATTTTATTTTTATTTATTGTTCGATTATAATAATATTAATACCACAAAATAATAATTCACAACTATTGAACAACACAGAAATAAGGATGTAGACAATGGATTATAACTAATATTTTCTGCTTCTATGAATGCTAAGGACAACTTTAATGGAATGTAGCAAATACTTACAGGCTACAATGAATAATTATGACAGTCAAGCTGCTTTCAACAGGTATTTTAAACTATTATTTAACATACTAGTACTTGATTATATTTGTTTTTAAAATAAATATTTTTTGAAAATTATTAATAGAATAAAATCATAACTTATTCATAATAAATACAAAATACATCATTTTTAAATCAATATTTAGGAATTTGGTAATGTAGTATTAAGTGAGTAGGTACTTTTAATTCATTCATAATTTTCTTATTTTTATAATCAGCAAATTCTAATTCTTTTTTCATTGCTGAATTGTCATTCTTCAAATCATCTAGATCATCTCTTGCAGCATAAAGACCTGAAAGCTCGTCGTTTCTGTAAATCATTCGAAATAATTAGCAGTCATTATACCAGAAGTTCCCAATATATGGTCCACGGACTACTAGTCATCATTGACGAATGATCCGTAAGTCATACTTACAAAATTTAAAAATATTTAATTTTTCCTTTGGTGCGTTATAAAAATACCGACAACAGTGTATATTGCATGTTTATTTATATTTTAGACATTTAAATTACATATTGCTATTTAAATTATTATTTCAATCTATTATCTAATCTTTTTTTATATAGCAAGATTAGACTACAGATCAAATACAACAGCCATGTTCGAAGTTTGATATTGTACAAATTTAAAGATCAATGTATTTTTATTATTAATTGCTCCATACTTTGTAGTCGACATAATATTCTTTTTGATTTTTCGTGTTAAAATTTAACAGTTAAATGAATTGGCTCCAAAACGAAAATACGACAAAGCATATATACAATTTTCCAGACTTATTTACATTAAATATAATGAAATCAGTTAGACTCTACTAATGACATGCATATAGCTTTGAATAATATTTCAACAGAAATATCTCTGTTAGTTAAGAAAATGCAAGCCCATATTAAATTGTTTTTATAATTATAATTTACTTATTAATTGTTATGATTATATGGTGTATATTTTTTTTATTGTAGTAATTTTCGTTAAATTGTTATTAATTTTAAACTTTTGCTTAAAATTCAACAATTATAAATATTATTTTAAGCCTACTATAAGGAATTTCATTAATATTTACTTATTTATAATCTATATTCTAAAATATGCAAAAACATCAATTCTTGTGTATAAGAAAAATATGGTCTACAAAATTGAAGTAGGCCATGACGTATATACAGTTTTTTAATTGTTTCGGTAGTGTCAAAAAGGTTGGGAACTACTGCATTATACCATATACGCACATAGATTTTAGTTAAAATATATATAAAAATACCTTTGTATTGTATAGGAGTAGCTAATAATTTGGTATATTTACTCGTTTCCTTCCAATGAAAATCTGAAATTAACATTTGGCCGTGTATTCATTTTGATATCCGACTTAATTTTGCTGTTCCAATTATAATAAATTAATCAGTACCTATTAATTATATAGCATTCATTATTCAGTCATAATGTATAGGTATCAGAAATTATTAAATATATTTACTTGCGTTATTTAAAACCCAAAGCTTTCTTGCTATGGATTTTTTATAATAATTTATGTTTGGCTCCACCACGAAATGTGATTACAATTAAGTATACTGTTAATGAATTAAAGATGTTAATTATTTGAAATGTTTATGTATTTGAAATATTCAGCATTACGTACTTTACAAAAAATGAAAATATATATTCTTTGTTTTGAAAAATGTAAGGTAACTTTCCAGTTGTTTTACGTCTACACCACAAATGTAGCTTTATTTAATCTAAATTTTCGAGAATATATCCACTGATACGACAAAATTAATGTACTATTAAATATCTATAAAATACGTTTTCATCTTATATGAGGATCAAACACATTCAATAAGTCAATAACACATTCTTATGGTAACATAATGTGCATAAATATTGAAATTAGAATAATGATTGGCTCAAAACAATAAATCTATTATAGACGATACTAATGTTATAAAACCTAACAATATGTACCTACAAAGAATTAAAAATTAGATCTACCTATTTAAGTAATTACATTGAAAATAAGTTTAAAACCTACCAGTGCATCGTTAATAATTTCATAGAATAAAAAAAATAATTCTATAAGTTAATTTTTTATTAAATATTAGGTATAAATTTAAAATAAAATTAAGATAAGAAATAGGTAAATGGATTAAAAGCGTTTTTATTTAAATGTAAGTGGATTTTTTTTTATTTTCCTGTGTTATGCTTTCTATGCATACTTAGTAATCGATTAATGAGATTAAACGTGATGGTAAATCATTTCAATAATCGGTCTTTGCAGTGTGTTTGGTATTCACTTTTCTATTTTCCAATATTTTTTCAGTAATTTTTAATATATTTTTTTTTAATCGTTACATTATCAGTTATTAATAATAATATGCTGGAAGTTGGTCAAACCTTCACTTGATGAGAGCCGAGAATCGTGAATCGTCGGTGGCCGTGGCAGTGTTATGGAGGTCGTCGGATACGCGTGGAAGGAGATACGAATTAAAATAAGTGGGGCCGGAATCCATACACAAAACGGTTTATGGTATCTAATACCGTGGTATACTGGTATGTGCTCGTTATCAACTTGGTGAAACAATATCACGTGCGCAAATTATCGTATTCGTGTTGCATCATGCAACTTGCATGTTAGAGATACTTAAAGTAAAATCTATAGCATCACTTTTTTAGAGTTTGAATTTCCTTTATGAGATAGGCAGTGTTTTATTACACAGAGCCTGGCCATGAGTTCGTTGAAGTATAGAAATGTTTTGAACGATTTTTCAGAACTTGATAACCAACTAAAAATCAACAAGTCAGAATTGATTGTCCAATTAAATAAAATTTTGAAAACTACTGGTGAATAAAGAATCAATGTAAAATATTTCTTAATGATATCAATTTAATCACGTAGCATTCCTTTTTTTTCAGGACTCAAAGAAAAATATGCTGCAGATCTAGGAATTGTAAATCCTCCTAGACTCATTGCCATCCTTAAAAATGTAATATTCTTGGCATTAACTCAATTGATTCTGAAATAATATGTATAAACGTTTTTTGGTCTTATTAGGTTTGCGAAGTATGTTATTCAGATAAATGTCAAAATGAAGTGGCTATTGGCATTATTCCGTTTCTTGTCTCAATGTTTACTGATCATTGTTTTGATGATCATGTTAAAAACACTCTTATAAAGTAAAATATTATATTTAATTAAGCACATAGTTTAAAATATTTCATGTATTATTTTTTCTTAGATGCATAAAGTCTTGTCCTGTAAAATTGCAACCACAGTTATTTACTGTGTTTTCACACAAGTTTATAACTATGATGATGTTTAACAGCCATGATCTACGTAAAACAGAACACCTATTTAAAATAGTAAATGAATATAGTGAACTATTTCCAAATTGTATTTCTACTTTCATTTTGAAAATCATGATGCATCTTGAAATTCAATTTAGAGTATCACTTAAGATATTGATGTAAGTTAAATAAGAAATTAAGTTTCATTATGAAAATTTTATATGCCTATATATGTATATATATATATATATATATACACTAAAATAATGTTCTACATATTTTAAATATGTTGTACTCTACTACTTTAAAACAATACATCTATTTTATTATTTAGCTCTTTTACAAAATTTATAATTTAATAACTAAGGTTTTAATTTTGTTATATTACAATATCTTAAAATACTATTATAAAATTAATTAAATTTAAAAATTAATAACATGGATAAGGTTAATAATCTTAAAAATACTTAGTTGTAAAAAGTTAAAAATTTGGAGAAAAGAATAGCTAATTTTAGTGAGTGTAGAATAACATAATATGATTTAAATCATAGTGGTTATAAGTGAAAGAGTTGTAAGATAATTATTTAACTACATGTACTAAAAAAATATTATAGGAATTAAAAAATTAAGGATTAGGATAAATTTTTAATATGAAGGTAATACTGGATGAAGAATTTTTTTATTATTTTAACATATTAAATACTATATTTTATACTGTGATATACCATTTTATTTATTTTTTCTTTATTGTAATTCTCTGTAAATTTAAAATATATTTTAGGCTTATTAAATTTTAAAAATAACAAAATTAATTTTATGCTCTATGTATTGATCTTATAATTATATATATATTTTTTTTTTTTTGGTTAAAAGCCTTTCAAGACCATCCCATCTCACACACATTCCTCCATTTTTGTCTAACCATTGCTCTTTCGTTCCAATTCGTTCCTCCTTCTAGTGATTGCACATCCTTTTTAACTATATCTTCCCATCTTGTTTTAGGTCTTCCCAGCAGTCTTTTTCCTCGCGGGTTTTGTTCTAACACTGCTCTAATTTAATTTTGGCTCCTCCAAGCGTGGTCTGCCCATTGGAGTCTTCGCCTTTTAATCACTTCTGTTATGGTTGTGTTTTGGAATAATATTTCTAGTTCTGTATTCTTTCTCCTTCTCCATTTACCACTGATGCTATCCTTAACTGGTCCATAGATTTTCCTCAATATCTTTCTTTCCATTACTAAAAATTTATTTTCGTCAGATTTTCTTAACGGCTACATTTCCGCTCCATATAGGATTACTAGACAGATCAGTGTAATGTATAATTGCTTTTTTAGTTCTATAGATAATGCTCGGGATCCTAATGTCTTTGCTAGCTCATAAGCCCATAGTAGCATTTGTTGCCTGTCTATATTCTAGTTGCTACTTCCTTTGCTATATCATTATTTTCTGTTACTATAGTTCCAAGATATTTAAATTGTTGCACTTTGTTGAACCTAACCTTCCAATGTTTAATGTATTAGTAAGTGGGTGCAGTTGCTTTCTGCCAATACACATATAATTATATATATTTTTTTTATTTATTTACATTTTTTAATAATACTTATAATACTATTATGTTTATTTTAGTAACGAAAGCTCTCCTACACATAAGGCAATAGCTATCAGATGTATTCATCAAGGTTTTCGTTTATTTCTGACAACTTATAATGAACATTTATTTTATGAAAATGTGAATATTTTGACTGCGCTGCTTGATTGTTTTTTTGATTTATTAAATAGTGATAAACTACCTATGGAAGTACTTTTTAATTGTTGTCTTTCTATAGTGTACATAAATAAATTACCTGCTCTTGAATATTTGAAGGTAAAATTACTAATTTAGTATTTATAAAAATAGTTTATTAATCCATTTTGATTTTTAGTTTATATTGAGGGATTTTGAAACTCGTTCGTGTTTGGGTAAATTAGCATTTATTGCAGCAATGTTAAATTCATTTTCTAGTGAAGAGTTAAGATCCATCGAACCTAATAGTGGAGAATCTATTTGTGGAATTTTATTTAATGCTACAATTGACTCTTGTGCCGGGTATTACATTATTTTTTTAATCTTTTTATTTTTATATATTATTTTTTTATGTTAATTTTATCTTATTATATTTTCAGGGATTTAAATGATTGTAGTAAAATATTATCCTCAAGCCGAGTTCTACTAGTACTATCTAAACGTTTATGCGCTAATAATGAAATTTATTTGAAAAAACATCAACTTCAATGTTTGATTTCCACTGTATGGATATACCTGGATTATTTTATGGATACTGTAAGACATATGGCTAAAGACACAATGATGAATATAATTAAAATAAAAGGTATTGTACTAAATATGTTCAATAAAATTGTCATAATCTTAATGATTAGGGTAATATATGTGCACTAAAAATTTCAAATAGTGTAATACTAAAACTTAAATTTGACCATAAGATTATTTTTGGTCACTTTTACATTTTTTTTTATTATTTTATACAAAGTAAGAATACTGAAAAGAATGTGGTTATTTCGTTAATATATTGTAATCAGTGGCATATCCAGAATTTTTTTTTTTTTTTTTTGGGGGGGGGTAATAAAAAATGTAACATTAAATTTTTTTTTGAGTTTTGTGTGTTTTTATTATAATCAATAGACAATATACATACAGTTAACATTTTCGGGTAGGTTATAACTCCTTAACCCACCTCTCTAGATACACCATTGATTGCAATATGTTAATATTGTCCCATTAACATAAAATTAACTATTTGGATTAATTAGATCTGTATTCTGTGGTTAGTAAACAAGTTTAAAATATGATAAATCTGATTATTTTAAAGAAAATTACAATTCATTAATTTATTTTTATTTTTAATACCGATGCAGAAGGAAAATATTTATTAATGATTGCCATTTTACACTATTATTTTTATTTATAATCAAATGTCAATCATATTCAAATACAAATGCTACAAATGCATTTAATCATAATATTTGTACAATTTATTAGACCCATTTTGCTAATGTTGATAATATATATAAATATTTCAAATGTACATGAATACTACAACAAAGGATAGCCTTAGAATATGCAACTTATGGTTATTTTAACTTAACTATTTTATATAAAATTATTTTTAGATGAAAATGTATTACTCGAGATATTTGACCGTCTGTCTACTTCTAATATACATTCTAGAGCTTTTATAAATGTTTTAATTATATTATCGAACAAAGTTGATGTTAAAACGGTAATGAAATGTTTGCCAAATGGTTCTGAAGATATTTTAGATTTAATGAGTTCCAACAGTTCTGTAAGTAATTAAATCTGAAATTAAAATTTATATTCAAGTCTAATATAGTTGTTTCTCCATATGTTTTAAAATATAACATTATTTCTTCTTCTTCTTCTTCAGCCTGCATTTATTACTATTGAAGAGTTTTCGCCGCCATCACGATCCACTTCCATTCTTCCCTGTTATGAATTATTGTTCTTCACTCTCGTTTTTTATTTTCTTGAGATTCTTTTCCACTGTATCCAACCATCTCTTTCTGGGACGTTAGCGAGGCCTCTTCCCTGTAGGCCTCCATTCCAGCACAGATGTTTTTTAAATAACATTTGAGAGAGTGCATCTTCCTGTTTTTGATCAGTCTTTACTTCAAACGCTTACGACAATGTATTATCTACTCTTGATATTGTGTATTATCCATACACATTTTTGTGAAACCATTATCTTAACATTATTTAATTTTTAAACATTATTTATTTTTTTTTTTTTTAACATTATTAAGGTATTAAAAATATTTGTTGACTATATTATGTTTATAGGCTTTGACTGTTTTTATTAATTTAATGGTAAACCATTTTAAAATTACTGATTTTAAAATATGGTTTGATTATTGGTTGCTTCCATTATTTAAAAATACTGATAAAGTAAATACAAAACATTTTGAAAAAATTATTACCCAAGCTGTCTCATTAACTCCAACTGTTTCAAACCATATTAATGAGTAAGTTCATATTTTTAATTTTTGTTTTCTATTTTTTAAGTTATATTTTCCCATAATAATTGATTTAAAAATAATCAACGTGTAATAATTTTGTTATTTAATTTTATTCCAGCTTAAATAATCAAATAGAATTATCATTGAAAATATATTTAATTTATATTAAGACTGAAAAATATGTTTATTTGACTAAAAATGATAATGGAGATTGGATGAATGAAACTTATTACGAAACATTAAAAAAAGCTCTTCATCATAAAGATGAAAATGTATATCTTAAATTTAATTATTGTTTTAAGAGTAACATATATAGAATTATTAAATGTTAATTTTTCATAGATTCAATTTATGGCTGTAAATCTAATTTTGGACTGTCAAAAAAAAACTCAACCTTTTATTAAAATGGAATTAGAACTAATGAAATATTTTATTACTTATAATATGAAAAATGAAAAGCCATCAATCAAAGAAACAAACTTGAGCTTGGTTAAAAAAGTTTGTATTATAAATATAATAATAATTATTATTTAAATTAAACCTGATTTATTTAAAATGTTCACAATTAAAATTTGTTTAATTGTATTTTAAATGATCTAAAATTTGTTTTTATTTCAGATACTTATAAGAATGAACGATAGTCAATTTTCTGTTGCAGTTAAAAATAAAAAATCTTTAAATGCATCAGTAACAAAATGCTATACTAGATTTCAGCATTGGTTCTCTAATTTTTGTTTTCAGAACCTTTTTTCTGATGCTAATTTTTCTAGGCGTAATTTTTCTCTTAGATCATTACGTCTTATTCAAACATGTCTATTACCAAAAGGTATTATAGGTTTAAATAAAAAGGAAAATATTTCTTTAATTTTTAATTGTTTATGGGACACATACGAAAAAAATAAAATATTGGCTAAGGATATATTAACCCACAAATGTCAAGATTCAATGAAATTGGTAATTTTTTTTAAATAATACTTATAGTTCTTATAATGATAAATTTAAAATGTTGTTTATTTATTAAGGATGTCATAGTGATTGAAGATATTTTGAACAAATCTATGTTATTAACACTTAGTAATAGCCCATCTGATTGTATAACAGCCGGATATTTATTGGAAACATTGATTATTTTAAATACAAGAATGCCGTAAGTATTTATTTTTTTTTTTTTAACTAAGGTAACTGTGTAATTACTATAATTATATATTTTATTATACTCATCTTTTACCTACATTTAAGTTTATCATTTGGGCCTCTATGGACAATGTTATTCAAGATTTTTATTGATACTTTTTATTTTTTATTTTTAAATTCTATCTAATTATAAAGTACTGACTTTCCACCGGTTTTACTTTTTTTTTATTTTCTCAAAAATATTATTTTATTAATCAAAAAAATGACCACATTATAAAAACCATTAAGTGGGGAACATATCATCATTATTCGATTAAATCCTGTGGAGCCTAAATAGGCACTAAGTATTCTAATTAGCTACTCTTTAGTATAACTGTGGAACGTTTGGGAGTACTTAGCAGCCCTACTCCGTCAACATTTTCTAAAAACACCCTACAATTCTGTAACATCATTAAATAATTATATCATTATATATTTTATTTCTATTTATTTGTTTTAGATATGAAGATTTTACATTTAATATTTTATTAGATTTGAATGAAAGTGTTCTGCAACAACTTAAAATAGGTAAAGAAAACCTTTCATTGGCATCAGCTACAGCACCAATGTATGGATCACTTCATACTATACGACACATATTGAACACTCTTGATTGGGAGTAAGTTATTCACTTAATTATAAAACAATAAATTTATTTCAAATATTTTATTGTTATTATTGCTTAAAATGTATACTTATATTGCTTAAGTTGTATAAATTATGAAATTCATTGAACAGTTTTCCAGAATATTATAGTGTGTAAATATTAATTATTATCTATTTTAATCAAACATAGTTCATCTATATACAAGTTTTTGCTTATAGTATGAGTCTGGAACGTTAATTTAAATGCTTAAATACTAATTAGAATATTGCAGAAACTAGTTATTTAAATTGTTAGATGAACAATTTTGTATTTAAAACTCAAGAATTATTTTATTAATATTTTTTCATTTGTAAAATTGTTTTAGTAATCTCTTAAATTAAATATTTATGATTGATAATTTAATTAATTTTCTTTTCTACAGGACTGTTAGTGAAAAGAAAGATTGGATGAGTTTTATGGGTTTTGTATCCAAGTTTTGTTTAGAGAGTATCAAACTTGTAACCGAAATTATTATTGATTCGTCTCCTGAAGGTCGTATTCTAAATAATGGTAATTTTGTCTTAAATTATTATGTTTATTATAAATGTATAATTATAACAATTATTGAAATTTTAGATAGTGCTATAAGTGATTATGAAGTAACTTCACAAATGATACTTGTTTGTGGTTGGCGTACAGCAAAGGAAGCGTCACTACTTTTGAGTGATATTGTGCGTATTTCTGAAACACGAGATACCCTAAAAAATCCCGAATTGATTATGCACATTTGTCAGTGCTTGACACTACTACTTTCTGAAACAAAACACAGGGGTGCATTTGAACAAATATTTGCCGCATACTCAACTGTATGCTCTGTAATGTGGAAGTATGTATAATTAGATTAACTGTATTCAATATTTAAAAATATGAAATAATGTCCATTTTATTACAAATTATCATAACTGGGACTTCAGTTTATTTTTAGCTTATTCATGTAAAGAAAGTTATATTATCCTGAATAAAAATATATTTCATCAAAACATTTTTAATTGAAATTGCCTAAAACGCTATAATTTTAAATTTTAGGTCATCAAAACATAAAATTCCTCAAAAATTACTTGAAGATATAATAACAGGCATTGAAACTGGATCTAAAAATTTATTTTGTTCCACAAGAAGAAGTGCTGGAATGCCATTTATGGTACAAGTAAGTATTCTTATGTAATAATTAGTTTTAATACATTAAAATGTAAATTATTTTGAAGGCTTTGATCTGTACAAATCCTGATAAATGGAAAGTTATAAACTTTACTATGGAAAAATTATTGGTTATTTGTGAAAACAAAAGTACAATAAACAACTCAGAAAATGTTGTTCAAGTGGTTCATGCTTTAAATGTTTTACGAGTATTATTTCGATGTTCTGAATTGGGAGATCTGGTGGGTCCTTTTATTTCTAGAGCAATTCATATTTCTATTGTATTATTTAACTCATCATCTTGGCCAGTAAGTATTATTTATTAAATTGCACTAAAATTATTATATATATTTTGTTTTGTATAAATATATATAACAAAGATACCATGCAAATGTATTTGTTCATTTATTTATATTTAATTTAGGTTCGTAATTCTTCTACATTATTACTGAGTGCATTAATAAATCGTGTATTCGGTGTTCCCCGATCTTCAACAGAATTATCTTGGAAAAATCGTATGACTGGTCAAGTATTTTTTAAAAGTTATCCAGAGCTATATGATACATTTTTAAATGAATTCAAAAAGTTTTCGCCAACAGACATGAGGCCTTCATTGTATCCAACATTATTAATACTTTCTAGGTTATATCAGACACAGAATAAACCCAGTGATAGCATTTCTCAGGTTAGTTTAACTGTACATATTAAAATTTGTGTTATTTGTAATATTTAAAATTTGAATTATTGAAACTATATTTAATATGAAATTTGTTAATATTCCATTTAACTTATATTGTTATTAGTTAGAATCCTACATTCCGTATATATTTAAATGTGCTCAAAGTCCAGTAATGAAAACTAGAATGTTGGCTGCAACTTCAATTGCACCTCAAGTTACACAATTTAAATTAGTTGAGCATCTCAATATAACATTCAATGAGTTAACTAACAAACATTTAGAAGAAAATACAATACATGGACTTTTATTACAAGTAAGCTAATATAGTTATATATTTTCTATAAATTATTTAATTAAAATAAAATGTTTTTTAAATAATATAAATATTATTTAGATTTTTAGTTTGGTTGAAAATATTCCCCAACCTATATTTAAGCAGAAAGAATTAGAAAAATTTACGATGGATCTTATAATGAAACATAATGAATTTGTAAAACGTTCTTATGTGACTCAAGAAATTTTCTTAAGATGTATTACACGTCTATGGACTCAGCTTAATCCCTTGATGAATGATTCTATTGAACATCTTTATACATCAACATTGGAGTCGATTACAAAGTCAGTTCAATTCAATGTCATTGGTCGATCAAAATATTTGGAAAGTGCTGTATTATTTTTATTTTCTGTCAGTTTAAAGACTCGTACTGATTTTTCAGTAGTTTCATATAATGTTATTAAGAATAACATGTACTGTGAAACAATATTTGAAATTTTAAGTACTATTTTATCCAAAAATCCTTTTGAATTAAGTGATAAATTAGAACAGTTTAAAAATGTTAATTGGGATCGTAATATTTTAATGAAACAATTTATGGCTAACCAAAGTCTTATTGAATTAATTTGCCAACAATGTACTATAATTGACTCATTCATTTATATGAAATATTTGGTCCTATCAAACTTTACGCCAGCATTGAATCTGTATTTTAAAATGTATGAATCAATTGATTCCTTTCTTTTAAAAGTTTTCAACCTTAAAAAGGATACTGAAATTGCCCAAGCTCTATTATGTGTAAATAGATATTTACGTCATCAAGTAAGAAAAAAATGCTTACTACTTTTTCAGTTTTTAATAATGGCGATCATCATTTTAGGAATCTTTGAAACAGTCTTTAATAATGAATTTGACATTGGTACTTGAAAACATATATTATGCCAAAAGATCTGATGAATGCAAGATTGTTAGTGTAAACATAATTGTCGATAATTATTATTTAATTATTAAAGGTCTCTCATTAGACCCTGAAATTTGTAAGTATTTTATTTTTAGATATTAATGTAGTTGACACACATTTAGTTGTGCACTTTCAGAATAATCAAAGTTTTATTTGCTTATGTTTTTGCCTTTTTATACCTCTAAAAAGTAATAACTGTATCTTGTTTTTCTTACAGTTCTCAGAATGTGGACTGTAATATTAAACTATTCTGAAGATAATAGTGAAGAAGTAAGAACTCATGTATGGTGTTTGGTGAATAAAGATACAAACTGTGCAAAATCATATGAATTATTATTTGACAAATTTGCCGAACACTTTGATCAATTTCCGTCAGCTGTTCTTGTAGCTTTAATATGTTGGTCTTATTTAGACTTACAGGTGCCTCAAATTCGTCCAAAAGTATGTATTTTATTGTTTATAAAAAATAAGTTTTTAATAAATTACTTACTTTAATTTTTTTCAGTATCAAATATTTGAAGCTGGGGATACTTGTGAATTCAAAGAACACACAATCCGATATAATCTTATACTTGACACAATTAAGCGTCTAACTAATAATCACCCTAAATCAATTAATTTGGTGATAAACAAATGTTTACAAGATTGGATAACTGAAAAATGGACGTCTAACTTTGATGTTAAACCTAAAGCTGAAAATTTAATGAATATTGGAGAGTTTATGACCTTTGCTAAGAATTATTACTCAAAGACTAGTAAACTCATCCAAGATAATGCTTCTTCTAAAACAATTGGTTTTTTTCAAAAGAAAACCACCCAGAAATGTTAAGATTTAATTTTAAAATAATGTAGTTGGTTACAATAATTTTTGAATCAAAAAAAAATGTGATATTATATTGCATTATAAATGTAAATGTCTAGTTGGTAGGAAATATTTATTGAATTTAATATTTTTGAATATTTTATTATTTTTTATATGTGCCATATAGACCAATGAATTATATTGATCTTAAAAATATGATATCATATCTGATGAATACTCTTATTGTGCGGATTTAGCATGATATAATAATACTTAAGAATAAGAAATTTGTACTATAGGTCTAATATTTTTTTTTTTTATGTTTTAAGTCTGTATAAACTACTTTTATAAATAAAACTTATAATACCAAACGAATCATAGTTTCTTTTTTGAACTAAAATTGAATTGTTATCTAATACATCATAATATTATAAATTTAATATAAATGTATATGTATAATCTATTTAATTAATTTGTTACAATTACATATGTACTAACTTATTAATTGTAATTCTGTAATAATTGTGATGATAATTTAGGTATAGGATGTACAAGTTTTTTTGAGTTTAATGCAATCGCAATGCACCAAATGAAATTAATATCCCAGTTCTGTAAAAGATAAGTAGGTGGGTACTGGACGGATTAAACATAATTAAAATTTAAAACCGTTAAATTTAAAATATTTAAGGTGGAGAGATACCTACCTAATTTTAACCTTATAATATAAAAATATAAATTCCACTGGTATAATACATTAAATAGTAGCTACTTTTGTCATTTAAACATCCAAATTATTGTCTTATTAGTGAACTAAGTTAATCCTGCTGATATAATTTGCTATGTAAAACACCATAACAAATAAATTATTTATTAATTTAGATAGTACATAAGTTAAATTCTTTTTTTTTTTCAAAACATAAAACTCTAGAACTCTGATTAAATTATGTCTTATAGATTATAGCCTAACACTACTATAGTACACTATTGGATACTGACTAAAAATATTTAATTCCTTTACACATTTTTATGCTTTACTCAGAAAACTCAAAAGGCACTTTTTTTTGCATATATGACAGTTAGTAATATGTCATGTGCTTGACATCACATATTAGTATTTATTCTATTACTTTTTTTCAAACTCTTTTTAATTCAAAAATCTGTGGAATATAATTGTTGTTGAAGTTTGTCATTCAAGATGTCATATTATTAAGGTAATTTTCAGTACCTATTTAATAGTTTTATTTTTAATCTATACTCGTGGATTTAATATTAATATTTCTTTAAACATTTATTAGAATATAATACTAATAAGAATAGTAATAAATATACGCAATCGAAAAAATGTTTATCACCTATAACAAACATAAACGATAATGATTAATTTTATTTTGACTTGAACAATTAATTGAATGCAGTTACAAAGTAGTAACACTTTATCAATATTAATGTAAAAGTTTATTGCTCTCACATTGTTTTTGGGATAAGTAAATGTTTTATAGAAGTTATCTACAGTCCTGTGAATACCTATAGTAATAAATATAGACCAAGTAGGTTTATACATACATCGATTAATAGTCTAAATTGTAATAATGTTTATCAATATAAAAAAAAAAAAAAAAAAAAATGAATAAAAAATACTCGCAATAACATTACCAAATGCGGTATGCATATGGAGAATCGAGAAGAAAATGGATAATGCACATTTATCGAAAAGTAATGAAAATTTTAAAAAAACCTAAAAGAAATTCTAAGGTACGCAATTGTTGTAATATACTATACATAAATCTAATCGTGGGCAGGGAGTGGCATTGTCTAAATAGGTATGATTATGCGGGACTGCGATGACCTACTTTTATATGCAGAAAATATTAAATTTTAAATTTCACAAGAAAAAACGCTTGGTTAAGTATATTCTAAGTTTAATATTATACGAGCTTAGTTGTTTAGACCCTCGTAATAGTATTTTTTAAAGCCTCAAGAAAAATAGAACGGCGCTAAGAAGCTTATAAAAGCGTTATTACTTATTAGTGATATTATTACTATTTCAAAGTTAAATCTCTTTATTAAATTTTATGGAACGCCCTGGGTTTGTTATTTAAAGGTAGACGGGTAATTATTTTATTCATTATTTTAATAATGGCGAGTAATCATAAGAAGTTGTTATTATTATTTTATGTGTTTGTACCTTGTACTTAAGCGAACACTTTTTAAACGTATATTGTCTAGTAAGTAGATACATAACTATGTACTATTTGTACGCTGCATGTATAACGACATCGATTTTTTATTCTGTTTTCATAATTGTATAACAATCTTAAATAGCTACATCATTAAAAACATTTACAAATACTAAAATAATAGTGTAGATATTAAAGTATTAACAAAATAAATAATTTGTTAAACAATGAGTTTTTCGTGCCCGACGATGATTTTTTAAATCGAAAACGTTCGTATATATTTACTATATATTTACACACCAATAATACTCCACACAAGAGCTTTTATTCTTATTAATATTTAGGTAATAATTTTTAATGAATAATTTATTTATATTTAATAATCTACTTAATGATTTATAATATTTCATTAGTTTAAGACTATTTACTACAAAAAAATTTGATTATTTTGTTTTTTAAATAATTGTTTGAATTTATACATAAATTATATCAGTTCAGGAAAGATTTATGTTGTACACCAACTCATTAGCGCAACTAGAGAGGGGCTTACCCCCCCCAAAGTTTTTTGATTATTTAAAATTTAATGATAATTTAAGTATGTTATAGTGAGATACATACTAAATAATATGAGTAAATGACGCAGAGAATTATTCAAAAGTAAATTGTATAAATATAAAATATTATTATTTATAATATTATTATTAGGTATAGTTTATTTTGTAATTCCTACAATCCTACATAATTAATAATAATATTGTTATCTAATAAATGTGACGGACGACGGTGGAATATTGTGGTGGTGTTATGTCATATTTTATGTAAAACATACTACATAGAAGTAGGTATATGATTTTTAATAATATGGTATAGTAATAATATTTTATGATTGTTTTTATTTCAATTAATAATTATTGTTCTGTGGCTTCAGCAATGGAGTGCATGGGGGGCAAAGCCCCCCATGGCTCACATTGACTAAATTTATTTGTAGGGCTTCAGCCCCCCAATATTTTAGATTTGGTTGCGCCAATGCACCAACTCATAGTTACAATAATAATTGTACATTTGAACACTTATGTATAATATACATGTGTTTATTATATGCTCTCAAGATAATACCCAATAGCTAATAATATTATTTAGAATTTATAGGTAAATAGTAAATTCAAAACGTATCATAAAATCTAAATAGTACTTTTTACGCATATTCCATTAACTTCTATTGCGATAATATATTATTATTACTATTACTATTATTATTATTACTATTATTATTATCACTATTATTATGATTACTATTATTATTATTATTTTGTATTAGTATGTTTTTTGGAGGTTATGTATCTTTTTTTTGTTTGTTTTGTTGTTGCGCATCGTGCGAGCTAGTGATGTTAAGCAGGCTACACACGTGCGGTTGAAACTGTGCGATTCGACTGTACAGTTATAACTGTACATATAAATCGTTTTACACTTCAGCATACACACCTTCAGTTAAAACTGAGTGATTTTACTGTACAATTAGAATAAATCGTGGCGTCATAGTCGATTAACATGACGAAAACAGATGACGCTTCTCAGATTAATGTGTTTTAAAAATAAAAGACGTAAAAAACGTAACTTATGGTGTAAATAATGGTTGTTAAAAAAAAGTGAAAATTCACATACAAATTTGATTAAAGAATTGAGAATTACTAAAAAAGATTTTATTAATTACTTGAGGATGAATGAAGATACTTATTTACACCTTTCTTTAGTTAGGTTAATTTTGCATAAGCACCATATTTTTTGCTTCGATTATGATAATCTTTTTGCTTGACTTTCCATAGACACGGTTCGGAACGATACATTTCGATAAATTCTTCCGTCCACCCACGTATTTTTGTTGCTATAATTTAAATGGCGAGGATAATAAATAATAGTATAAAATACGTTGTAATTCAGTTTTTAAAATTACGAATTGACTGACGTGGACTGTAATGAAATTAAAACTGTACAGTGTACAGTTTACCTACACACGGATCGTCTTATCTGTGCAGTTTTATCAATTGGTACTTTCAATTCATTTCCGATCAACTGCACAGTTCTAAAAATTATGTCGTATTATCCTACACACGTAAGACTTATCTGTACAGATAAAAATGTACAGTCGAATCGTACAGTTTTAACCGCACGTGTGTAGTCCACTTTAAACTGTGAAAAATATCACACTGTGATATTGCTGCTGTGATAAAAAAAATCACTATGAAAATAACAGTCATTGCTACTGTAACTGCTACTTTCTATTTTTCACGTACCTATGGCGAATCACATGTTTGCTTTACACTATCAGAATATCACAGTAATCCATAGTTAGAATCACGGTCTTATAAGACCGTGGTTAGAATACTACTCTATTTACTATTTAGTCGTGATATCAGATAATATTTACCTAATGTAAATGTAACATAATATTAATCATTATTCATTACCTATGAATAATAACCAGGCTTAGGGACTTAAAGCTCTAAAAAATACACAAATATGCTTCTAAAATCATTAAAATATGCATTATAATATGTATTTATATGCATTAAAAAAAAAAAAAAAATGACCACATAGTACACAAAATAAAACGTGTTCATCGAATATAAATGTATCTTTAAACTCCGTAACAAAACTTTGTAGTCGGCTACTCGTAGACTGTTGTACTCTCGACATTACACATTGTTATACATTGTTATAATACCAATTGTTGTACATGCTAGAAGTTTTTAAGCCTAATAATGACTAATATAATAAATTAACAAATACTATAATATCAATAAATATCTATCTAAAATAACGAACTTGTATGTTTTAATATGTGTTATTTTTATAAATGGTATTTTATCTAAAATATATTATCTA